GGATCATGACCTGAGCCGAAGGCAGTCGCTTAACCGACTGAGCCACCCAGGTGCCCAGGACCAGAAGTCTTAAAACCCAAGGAACTCAGGATGCCTGAGACAGTTGAGCTCAGAGAATACCTAAGGGGAAGTGGTATGGGGCTGTCTCCTAATATTTCAAGAACTGCGATGTTGAAAAAGTATTGAATTTACTCTGTGTGGTTCCATAAGGTGGAACCAAGCCCAATAGGTGGGTTTGAAGGAGCAAGAGATTTTGTATCAGTGCAAAGAGGAGTTTTCTGATAGAGCAGCTCAGAAATGGCGGGGACTGTCCTTTGAAGAAGAGAGTGCCCAGCACACGTTGGATGTCTGTTTTCTGCATTGTGTGGGTTGGGCTGAGCCCCTCCAGGTGTAAGTCTCTGAAAACTTGGATATAGTGGGAACTTCACAGATGAGTGTTGGGACGAAGCCAAGGCAAGGGATACTTTCATTCATTTACTCACGCTGTCAGCAAACACGTATTATGTTCCAGACCCTGTTCCAGGTGCTGGGGCCACAGCAGTGACCCCAACAGAGATCTTCAGAGAGCCGCTCAGCAGTTGGGGGAGGGGAGGTGGGCTGCACAGGGGCATGAGGGAACTTTTAGGAGTGACGGGAACGTTCTCTTGATCACGTTGGTTGACATTTGCCAAAACTCACTGAATGAGACCCCTAGAACTGGTGTATTTTACTTGATGTAAATCGTATCTCAGTCAGGTTGATTCAAAAAGCACAGCCCTGCCCTTGTGGACCTTTCGTCCTGGTGGGAGGAGAGCAACACGAAGCAAGCAAAGTGGTGGAAGGGGGCGCGGTTAGGGAGGAAGCTCCCCCCCCCCGGGGGAGGGAATGTGGTTGCAGCCACCAGTTCACGCATTCTGCGTCTCTGTCCAGGAGTACGAGTGCCTGGAGCAAGAGAACACTGTGCTGCGGAGAGAGATCGGGAAGCTGACGGAGGAGCTCAAGCATCTGAGCGAGGCACTGAAGGAGCACGAGAAGATGTGCCCGCTGCTGTGCCCCATGAACTTTGTGCCAGTGCCACGGCCGGACCCTGTGGCCGGCTGCCTGCCCCGATGAAGCCCGAGGATCGTCCTCCTCTGCCGACGGAGGAGCCTTGGTCTTTTTCACATCTGGGCAGAGGGTGGGGAGGAGGGTTCCCTCCGCATCTGTGTCCAGGGGGACCGGGGGCCAGGTCACCTCCTCGGAGCTCCTGGCCATGTCCTCAGCGGACGGCTCTGCAGGACGCTCCCGCGGGCGCCTCTCAGAGCCCTGAGCGGATCTGGGCAGGGAGGCCACCCTCAGGAGTCACCTCAATCCACTTTGGCAGCTAGTAGGTTCCCTGCTGTGTAGAATTATTACCTCTAGAATTTGAATAATAAAGATGGTTATGATCTCTCCTTTTGCCAAGTTCTTGGAATTTGGAAATACAATACGTTTCCTAGTCCTGGAGAGGTCGTCACCTTCTGTCTTCTCAGGCTGTTTTGTGGCTCCTGGGTCTTGCTTTCTCCTCCTGGTCATCATCCCTGAGGCCGTAACTGTGCTCGATGCAAGGGGCACCTTTGTGGGCCTGCAGAGCAAAGGCCAGTGGGACTTCTTGCCACCCCAGCTGGGTCACCAAGGGATAGTCATGCTGGGCATGACTCGTGCTTGTCTTCTGTTTTGGGTAGCCCTCTGTCTCAGTCAACACCCCCGCCCGTGCTGGACTCTCATGGGAACTGTTCTATTCCAGGCTGGTGTTCCTGTCTTCTCTGTACACTCCTGGGCCATCTCCCCATTCCATAAGTAGGCGTAGGATCAGAGGACAATTTCACTTTATATTAGTATGAGTCACGACAGAATGGGGAAATCTGTCCCCTAGTTTAAAAAAACAAATATTTTGGCAGATGAGGAGAGCAATTTCCTTTCAAAAGTCCCGTCTAACTATTATTTCAGGAAAAGCAGAACCAAGACAAGTCAAAGGTGGCCCCAGTGAGAAAAGCAAAATGGCGGAGGACTCCCCATCCTCTTCCAATTCTCTTTTTCCCTGGACCAAGGGAGTTGTGGAAGGCGGAGCCATGCCATCATAAAGGGCACAAGAAATGGGAACTGAAGGAAGATGCTTTGTTGTAAATGTGATGTTGAAAAAGAAGAAAGTAAGAAAAGAAAGAGGACCCAGCCCCTCCCAGGGGTGACCAACTTGCTGACTTCATACAAGTATTCATATTGGCTACTCCTCGCGAGCCTCCCTTTTCTTGGGGAAGTGTCCCCCGCACCACCACCCCCCAGGCTTTTTGGAGGTCTGCGGGTCTCTTGTAACTCACACGGGCTGAAGGCTGCAAGGTTTCCCTGGTCAGAGGCATTGGAAGTCTGCCATTAGAGACCCAGGCTGCTGTAGAACCAGGCCGAAGCTTCCTGAATACAGCTGTTTCAGGGGAAAGGTGGCACTTCTTAGTAAGAGAGACTTGATAAATCATCCAGCCTGATCATTCACTTTGCAGACAAGGGGCTCTGATGTGGTGGGGGAGAGGCCTTGCCCAAGGTCCCCCGTGAGCAAGGAGCAGAACCAGGTTGGAACCCCAGAGGGTCTGACGTGACTCCTGACCCACCAAAGAGCTGATAGCTTCAGGCTGAAGCCATGTCGCAGGAGGTGACTTAGGACAGGACCTGGGGTCTATACGTGGCATGACCTTCTGTCAGAACCACACAAGGCTGGCCAGGACTGCCACAGTCCAGGTGACCAGCCCATCCACGAGGGGCAGACTCAGAGCCAGGGTCCCAGGAGCTGATGTGGCTGTGAGTACGAACATGTTAAGTGTGTGCCTTGTACCTGCAGGTGTTTTGAAGCTGCCGTCTTTCAACTCCAGCACCTTCTGTCCCTGTAGGGAGCACCTTCTGTTCTGGCTGGGTCTCAGCCTGATCCTGCAGTACTTCCGTCTGTCCTGGCTTGCACAGTCCTCGGCGGTACTGCCTGCTGATCTGCGGTGACCCCTTCTGGCACTCCTCTGTTCCACTGTTAACCCCGGGCTGTCTGTGCCTGCTGGCCTCCCTGGCCTGAGTCCCCTGGCTCCACACGATAATTCAAAGACTATCTCCTTCCATTTAGTTGCTCTGTGCCCCTAAGGCCTTGGGGTCCCCTGGTTCCTCTACTCTGGCCACGAGACTCGGGACAAGGGGCCCAGGGAGGATGGTGGGGAGCAGATCTATCTCAGAAGTGACACTATACCATTTCCGCCACAGTTTGTGGCCAGCCCTCAGTCACACGGCCTCGCTGAGCTATCAGGGACATTGGGGATTGAAATTCAGCCATGTGCTCAGTGGTGGACAAATCGGATTTGGGGACTATCTGTCAGTCTCTGCCAGAAGAAGATCCAGCTTTTGCTCCCACCCCCTCACTGAAACTGCCCACTTGCAGGTCCCCAGTAAGCTCTGGCTGCCAAATCTCATGGCCATATCTCAGGTCTTATCTTCTTTTCATCCCTCAAATTAAGACGCTAGCTTCTGCATTTCTTTCTGTCTCTCTACCTGCCGCTTCACAGTATAAAGGAACTTCTCCTCTTGGGGCCTCCATCTCCATCTATCCCTAAACTGATAATTCCCACATCTGTACCCAGAACGAGGGGAGCTATATTCAGCTGCCCTTCCCATGCCTCCGAGGATGTCCCACAAACGTATCCCACTCAACACGTTCACAGCTGTACTCATGATCTCGTCTTCCCTTCAAAGATGCTTCTCGATCTGTTTTCACCTGTTGAATAAAGGTCTCTGTCCCCCACCTGGCATCATAGTTTCATAGTTGGAAGCACTGTGTCCCCAGCATAATTCACCAAGCCCTTCAGTTGTGCCTCCTAAATAGCCCCAGATCCAGTCACTTCGCTCCGATGGGCTCATTGCTTTATTTGCTAACAAGGCCTTGATTCCAACTAGCTGCTAAACATGGGGGCCTTCCCCCCTGAGCTGTGTGTTCACTGAGGTGGGGCTGCCTCCACTTCTGATGTCAGAGCAGTAAATGTGGAGTCAAGGAACCCAAACTAGGGAAGCCCAGGGAAATGAGTCATGGCGCTGGGGTCCAAGTCCCCTCCAGGATAACTGGCAATTGTGAGAAGAGTTCTGAAAACCAAATGTTCACAGAGCTTGGCTGCTAAGAATGTCCTTATCAACTTCCCAGTACCATCAGGGGCATCTCAGCTCCCCAGTTCCTATGCCAAAGAAGCAAAAATTCTGTATAAACTTGAGGAACTATTGTATTATTCCAGGAGGGACAAGGGAAGTCGATAAGTTGCTGGGGTTTAGACTTACTTGGTTGTATTCACACTGCTGTTGTGTGCACGGTCCGGCACCCCACATCTGAACTGAGTCTCCAAGTGACTGTGTGTTGGGCTGGGGCAGGGGGAAGGGACGCAGGCTGAGAAAGGCCCCTTCAGCATAGAAAGTGTCAGAGGGAGGAAACCCTTCCTTCACACCCACGCAGCCACACCACTTCCTGTCCACAATCCCTCCCTATGTTGCAGCAGCCCAGCCTTGAAGACTGGGGTTTCCATCACTGAATCAGGCCCCAGTTTGGGCCCCAAACCTTGCTTGAGAATGATGACACTAACAGACAGGAAAGCAAGAGACCCAAAAGCCCCTCTCTTCTTTCCCATCAACGCTAGAGTTTCCATAGTCCCGGGTGTACTTACCAGGGCTGCGGGTTCTGTCCTAGCAGGAGCTAGAAGACAAGGGGTGGTGCTGAATCTCACGGACATGTCTTCCCTCCCACGATATCCAGGAAGTCCTGGCAAGGTCATCGGTGCCACAGCAAGAAGGCTTGTAAACGAAAGGCCGTGAGCAGAAAGAAAGGAGAATGGAGAGGAGAAAGGGGAGAGGAAGGAAGGGAAGGAGAAAAAGAGGGAGAGGGAAAGAAGGAAGGAGGATGGGGAGAGGGGGATGGGGATCCTGAGCTCTGAACCTAAAGCCTCCCTGTTCCTGGGCAAGTAATGCTGAATCCCCAGGGGGATGTGCCGTTGGAAGCCCCCTAATAATGACATGTAACTCGAGGAGGGGAGAGTGGAGCTGGCCAAGGCCAGAGTGTCTGCAGACCACTCCATGCTTGGAGTCAAGGGAACTTTCCTGCATTGCCCATTTGGAAATGGACTTCCTTGATGAGATTAACCCCCACTTATCTATTTGGGACCAAAGGAGATCAATGAGTTCGCTTCCCCCACCATGGGCATCATCACCTAACGTTAGCATGACCCACACTGAAAGTCTGTACTCAGCAGGTGCTGATGCTCTTGGTGTGGCATGCTTGAAGAACTCGTGTCCTAAATCTGGAGCCATGTTCAGGGCAGACACTGGCCCTGGAGGCAGCTCACCTGCTCTTTTGGGTGTTCTAGCATGACCTTTTCGGGTCCAATATTCTTGAGAAGATCAGAAATGTCATCGAAGATCAGGCCAAAGGCCACTAGCCCAGAAGTCCGACCACGATGCTGAGGAAAGTGCGAGGGACAGTCCAGTGTTTGCATTCTAAGACACCATCCTGAAAGGCCAGAGATGGAACTGGAACTTCCCTGATTTCCCTAAAAAACCTGCTACGTATCTATCCATCCATTATCAAGACCCTTCTTGAACCGGTTTAAGTTCTCAGTGGCCTTGTGCGGGGCATCAGCCTCTGTTCTGTCCTGAGACCACCTTCTGCTCTGTCTCAATCTCTGGTCCCTCATTCGTGGACAGAGCCAGGGTCCTTGCCCGGGGCCTGGAAAGTGGCACTGTTCCCGAGGATCCTGGCATTCATGGAGTTCCTTGCAATCTTTCCTCTAGACCAGCAGCAAGACAAAAAAGTACCTTCCCAAATGTCACAAACCCACAGAAAGCTCAATTTGCCAGGCAGTACTTTCTGAAATTGAGAAAGTAAGAGAGTTGGAGAAACACTAGTGGGGGCCAGCATCCTGAGGTAAAAGAATGGAAAGAACCAGTGAATGCACCTTGCAGTAGTTCTCGAACTATTGCAGTGAATTTGCTAATTATTAATATTATTAAACTTTATTAGTAATTAATTACTCTAATAATCGATTGATTGTACCCAACCGATACATTTATTTATAGAAGTAAATAATAAAATACTTATTTAAAAATAAAACTGTTAATGACTAGTCGTTACTAATTTATGAATTAGCTATTGTTTAAACGATCAGTAGTTAAGCGTCCATTGTGTGTATGTATGTGGGGGGGGGAGACCAGGACCCGCAAAGGACAGACACCCCCCAACACATGCACATACCTTAGAGAATCACCTTATCATATAACTTCTGAAATCTCACCTCCAGACCTTTTTCAGTTTGAGGAGGGGAGAGATAATGATGTTCTCCCTCTGGTCTGAACCGGGAACATTCCTACTTAGATCGTAAACAACTATAGGACAGGGATCGTGTTATTTATCCA